AACCTGGTGACACTTTGAGTAAAATTGGATGGAGAAAAGGGATGGACAACTCCAGCTGTCATAAAGAAAAAGAATTCAGCACTCCGATTATAAGTAATCAAGACTGACAGTGAAGAGTTCAACAGAAACCATCGACATCTACAATTTGTTTCTCAGAAAAAGCAATCAACAAAACAAACGCTACAGATGGCAGAACAAGAACGCGATGACTCAGGGATTCTCAAATGACCACAGCCAGTTGTTGCAGCTAATAGACAGCCAGATGACGAAGTTGTTTCGTGTTCGGGTCAGATAATTAGAAAACCAGTACAATTAAGAGACACTTAACACTGATACGTACTGAACTTCAAAGATAATGTGATATTGTAAATGGTAGGCATGTAGAACTTAAAGGGGGAGTGTAATGGAATACTAAGCTGTTTTATACTGGTTAGCCACTAGGTGGTACTGTGTGTAAACACCGTATTTAAAGCTAAACAGCTATACCTGGAAGAACATTAAACCATCTTATGATGAACATGTCTGGTGTGTATAACCAAGCTCTGTAGCTAGTCCATATCTGGTACAGGAACATAACAGTCTGCACTCAGATTAAAATCCTTTTGAAGTAGATTAGAACTTTTCCCTGAGTAAGGACTGCAGAATTTGGACCTAAGATGGAAGCAAATAAAAATAGCCTCATGTAAGCTGCCCATGCAAATCTATGGCCACATTTGGGAGTGGTGAAGGAAGAAAAAACATGAGTTCAGTGTAATGTATGTTATATAGACAACAATAGGAAACATTTCTAGCAGGGTAGGACCTGAATCTCTTCCCATTGAAATAAATTGGTTTGCAATTGATGTCACAAGGATCAGGATGGGGCTTCACTCACAACTTCTATGGGAGTTACACAACTTTTTCCTTGTACATGATGCTGTGCTACATCTCATAATACAATTGTAAAGTGTAATTGTACAGCAGTTACACAATTCCCATACTACATGAGCATTCCCTTTTTTGTGTGCTACGTATCCCTATTGATTATGTTAACTCCATGTCAGTAATAGTGATTTTCAGACATAGCTCCCATTGCCAGCAATGGGTGATGCATCAGACCGCTCACTCTATGGGGTTAATTATATATGGTAAAAGTTATCCTATTCCTATTCAAATTGCTTGCCATATGTACATGCAGTAATGCTAGACTGTACATGAAGCCCTCTTGTTACATGTCTAGTGCATTAACCAATTTTAATCTCTAAAATGTAAGGTGTTTTATTTATACACTAATTATATATCATTTATTTAAATATTACAACTCTTGATATTTACATTTCTTTCTATTTCTGCTAAAAATATATTACATATCATACCATTAGAAAAAGAATGTGGAACACAAATAAGTACAATAAAGTAACATTAAGGGTGAGACATAATCCCATGAAAGCAAGGATGTTCAGAGTTTAGGCTGCTAGGTCACCCTGCTCTTGGTACCTGTCAACTGCAGAAATTTTCCTAAATCCTCCCATCTGACAAGCTTTGTGGAAAGCTGTCACAATTGACAGATAAAGCCTTACCTGAATTAGTTGTAAGAAAATAAATGAAAATATTTTACTAATATTGTCTGCTTACTGTATACAGCGCCTTTAATCTGAGGATCTCAAAAGTGCTTACAAACATTAAATAATTAAGACTCACAGCCCCTCTCCCCTGCGAGGTAGGTACGAATATTATCCCTATTTTACAGATGGGGAAACTGAGGCATAAAGAGTGGCTAAGTGACTTGCCCAAGGTCACCTAGTGAATCAGTAGCAGAGCTGGGAATAGAACCCAGGATCCTTGACTCTTGGTCCTGTGCTCTAATCACTAGATATGCTTCCTCTGTAGAGATCACTTATGTAAATATTCAAGTATTTGTATATCTACTGATGTCTGCAATAAGAGTCTGCAAAGATGTCTTTACTTAATTTCCTGTTTCTGAAATGGGTTCTTTAATCTCTGACCTCAGTATAAACACCTCGGTTTTACTTATACTATATCTTAAATGTAATTGTGTGGTGTCGTGATCAGTGGTTCCTTTTTTGAGAGTGTCACTTTGAAGAGTTGGGAGATCATGTGTAATTTAGGAGCAATCTCACATGAAAAGAAATCTAAAGATCTGCAGAAGGGGGTAAATATTCTTAACTTTGAGTTTCTTTGCACATGTTGAGGGTTAGTGTTGAAACACAAAGAATAAAGGCCAACCAGAGCTGTGAGTGCGGAACCGATGCGTGCAAAAAGATCTACCCCCTACTACTACTTTCCAAAGAAATTCTCAACATCACACTAAATTTTACTCTCAGCCACACCCATGGGCAATCTAGAGAACAAAAAATGTTTCAATGAATATTTCAACTACAAAATTTCTTTTCAACTAAAACAAAATGTTTAAATGGAAAAATCTTCATTTTGGTCAAAGTTTTGGGATTCTTTGACTCAATTTTTTTAACCAAAAACAATTTTTAAATAAGAAAATAACTTTTTTTTTCCAATTTTCACTTTTGGTTTTTATTTAAGAAAAGATTTTTTTCCTCGGGAAACTTACCATAAAAAATAGTTGGTGTTTTTTAACTGGCTTTAGTACAACTAACTCCAGAGGGGTCCTACTGCCATAGTTGAAGAGAAATTTGCTCTTATTTTGGGAGTGAAAATTATCTGAGCCACAAAAATCCCCAGAAGACCCAGTCAAGGGGCCATGGTGGCACAACATACCGCTCTCCCTCAACTTAACTTTACCATGGATCTTTGTGTCCTTTGTGGGCACAGCAAGGCAAAACATCTAATGCTGTTTGCACGGATGGGGTTTATGAATCCAGAAGTCACTATTGCATTCTGTTTATGCATTGCTATGAAGTGGCAACTACGTTGCATTGTTTGATGTGTGAATTGGCCGATACAAAAATGCTGCAGTTGAAGCACAGGCTGTAATCGCAGTGTGCTCACTGTCCTGATGGAAGTAAAACCCCTTCCACACTCAAAGAGCCATGAACCCTGATTGTAGCCCAGTCTCCTTGAGTTCAGCTGATAGAATCTGCATTGCCATCCCAGTAGTGATTTTTATTCTTACTTGCTAGGCAGGGAACAGAACTACGGCTGGCCAGTCCCGTTCAGAGTAAGATTCATAAACTACAAAGTCGGTAGGTGAAGCATGAGGGGATTTCAGACACTATCTCTGCCTCCAGCTAACTGCTCTGTCAAATGCTTGCATTCCTAAACAAATGCTCGGTCAGGTTGGTTTGTAAGTCTTCAGAAAGTGCTTGCTCTGGGGTGGGGATGCTCCTTTCATTATTCCCTCCAATCCACCCTGAATACCATCCTTGTGCATAGCTGGCGTTGGGGTATGAGTATGAAGGGAGGCTGGATGTGTTTATGAATGAGCAGCAACCACCCTCTCGTCCTGGGAATTTGCACCTTTTTGGTGTGCTTCGTTCCCCCTCACAAGAAGAGAAAATGTAGCATCAAAGACAATTCAAACCACCTTGTAAGCATGAGAGCCTGGAAGCTGTTGAGCTGATGGTGAAAAGTGCTTTTCACTATGCCTTAACTGCAGGACAGGCTTAAATATTTAGGGCTGAATGTTGCATGGGGCTCCAGTAGCATAGCCAATGCAATTTGCAATGAGGAACTCTACATCAGTGGCTCATCTTGCTGAAAACCAGAGCTGGCTTAGAGCCACAAAGACCAGACTGAGCTGCACTGAAACGTTCCAGAACGTTGCGTGCTGAGACCCAAGGTTTTGTTTTGACCCATAATAGCGATAGAGGCTAGCTGCGAATTTCAGATTTATAGCTGCGATTTTCTGAAAGCTCTTGGGTCTAGGATCCCGGATTTTTGGTTTGGGCTCATCCGTACTGAGAGGCGACCTCATTTGTAACATATGGGTGTCCAAAGGAACCATCTGCCAAAACAGCTTTCCTACTGGCAGAGAAACTGATATTTAATAATCAGGCAAAATGTGTCATGCTTGGGCGTTTTAAAACAGGAAAAGTGCTACTGTATCTGGGAGTCCCTGGCGCTCCAGCCACTTTTCAGAAAAAATGGGTGTCACCAACTGTAGACTCAGATGTTCACCATGTTATTACAGTAAACTCTTCTCCAAACACAATCCACAGCCATGTGCAGTTAGGACCTGATCCTGGAAGTCTCAATTCCATTCCCTTCAGCAGGAACTGAGCTAGCTTAACACCTCCTAGGATCAGAACCCTGGAGATCACTGCCCTGAGCTAACCAGGGTAGCTTTCTTTTAAGGGAATCTATGTATCAAATCATGGGTGCCCCTTACATCTGTCTGTATTTCTCTTGGGGAGAATACATGCTGCCCCACGTGCTCTACTGAGCACCCTTCTTGAGCCACTACCCTCTGCACATTCAGGCCCTGATTTAAACAAATCACTTAGGCCTTGGCTACACTGGCGCTGTACAGCACTGCAACTTGCTGCGCTCAGGGGTGTGAAAACGCCCCCGTACCCCCCGCGCAGCGACTGCAGCGCTGTAAAGCGCCAGTGTAATCAGCGCCTGCAGCGCTGCGAGCTACTCCCCTCGGAGAGGTGGAGTACTTGCAGTGCTGCGAGGGAGCTCTCACAGCGCTGGTGGCGTGACTACACTTGCACTTCACAGCGCTGCCACGGCAGCGCTGTG